TTGATGATCCTGTAATAAAATTGTTCTATTTTATAATTTTTGGGTTTTCCAAATTTTTTATGCAATTCGTTTCTTCATTCCAAATTTTCGATACCTTTTTTTTTATTTTTAAGTTTCTCCTTTTGCAGTTTTTCAGTGTTTCAATTTTTCATCTTTACAATTCTTCGATTTATAATTTTCTGATTTTTCACTTTTTCGTTGTTTCTGTTTTTCGACTTTTGATTTTTTTCCGATTTTTTAACTTTTCGCATCAAAAAAATTGAAAAACTACAAAACTCTAAAGTTCAAAAATCAGCAATGAAAAACGAAAAATTTTAAAATGAAAACTGAAAAATCTAAAAAATGGAAATCAGAAAAATGGAAAGCGTGGAAAATCGAAAAAACGAAACATTGTAAAATTGAATTATTAATAATTAAAGAAATCTGAAAGTTGGATAATAGAGAAATCCAAAAATCGCAAAATTGAATAATTTTAAAACTGGAAAATCGGAGAACTAAAAATCGAACATAGAAAAATTTGAAAAAATAAAGCAAAGGTAGACACTCAAAATTGTGATACAATATCGAGAAAATGAAAATTAAAAAATCGGAAAAAATAGTAACTGAAAATCAAAAACTTGAAAAATTGAGGAAACGAAAAATTGAAAAATTTAAAAAGTAGAAATCTGAACTTGGAAAATTGTGAAACTTAAAAATCGAAATAATGCAAAATCGAAAAAACGAAATATTGCAAAACCGAATTGTTGAAAATTAAGGAAATCGGAAAATGGGACAGTTATCCCATTTAGAAAATCCAAAAATTGCAAAATTTAAAAATTTAAAATTGGAAAATCGGGGATTTAAAAAAGCGAAAATTGAAAATTTGAAAAAATAAAACAAATGTAGACACGCAAAATTGTGATACAATACTGAGGAAATGAAAATTAAAAAATCGGAAAAATAATAAATGAAAATCAAGAACTTGAAAAATTGGGAAACTTGAAAATCGAAATAGCGTAAAGTCGAAAAAACGAAATATTCTAAAATCGAATTGTTGAAAATTAAGGAAATCGTGAAATCGGATAATTGAGAAATCCAAAAATTGCAAAATTGAAAAATTAAAAAATTGGAAAATCGGGGAATTAAAAAATCGAAGATTGAAAATTTGAAACAATAAAACAAATGTAAACACCCAAAATTGTGATACAAAATCGAGAAAAGGGAAACTAAAAAATCGGGAAAACAATAATTGAAAACCAAAAATTTAAAAAATGGAGGAAACGAACAATTGAAAAATATAAAAGCTGGAAATCAGAACTTGAAAAATTGTGAAATCTAAAAAAACAAAATATTGTAAAATCGAGTTGTTGAAAATCAAATAATTTGGAAAATTGGATAATTAAAAATAAAAAAAATAAAGCAAATGAAAACACGCAACAGTGCGATATAATATCGAGAAAATGAAAATTAAAAAATCGGGAAAATAATAAATGAAAATTACGAACTTGAAAAACTGGGGAAACAAAAAATTGAAAAACCTATAAACTGGAATTCAGAACTTGGAAAATTGTGAAACTTAAAAATCGAAAAAATGCAAAATCGAAAACACGCAATATTGTAAAATCGAATTGTTGAAAATTAAAGAAATCCGATTATTGTATAATTGAGAAATCCAAAAATTGCAAAATTGAAAAATTGGAAAATCGGACAATAATAATATAAAATCGAAGATTGAAAATTTAAAAAATAATAATAGTTCTGTTAATCTAATCAATGCATATCATTACTTGGTCTTAGTACCCGATGATAGAAGTCTTGCCTGAATGCCGGTCATTTCCGGGTCAGTGGTGGGTCTTAAAAACAAATGTAAACACGCAAAATTGTGATACAAAATCGAGAAAACGGAAATGAAAAAATCGGGAAAACAATAATTGAAAACCAAGAATTTGAATAATTAAGGAAACGAAAAATGAAAAATCTAAAAACTGGAAATCAGAACTTGGAAAATTGTGAAATCGAAAAACCCAAATATTGTAAAATCGAGCTTTTGAAAATTAAAGAAATTGGAAAATTGGATAATTGAGACATCCAAAAATGGAAAAATTGAAGAATCGAAGAATTTAAAAATTGGAAAATCGGTGACTTAAAAAATCGAAGATTAAAAATTAAAAAAAAAATAAAGCAAATGAAAACACGCAAAAGTGTGATATAAAATCGAGAAAATGAAAATAAAAGAATCCAGAAAAAAATCGGGAAAATAAATGAAAATCGAGAACTTGAAAAATTGAAAAAATGAAAAACTGGAAAACACAACGTGAAAAATTGGGAAACTTAAAAATCGTAAATGTAAAATCGAATTATTGAAAATTTAAGAAATTGGAAAATTGGACAATTAGGAAATCCAAAAATTGGAAAATTGATGAATGCAATAATAATTGGAAAATCGGGGAATAAAAACATTGAAAATTGAAAATTTGAATTAATAAAACAAATTAATGTAAATATGCAAAATTTTGATACAAAGCCGAGAAAATTCAAATTGAAAAATCGGGAAAATAATAAATGAAAATTATGAACTTGAAAAAATGGGGAAATGAAAAATTGAAATATCTAAAAACTGGAGATCAGTAGGTACTTGGAAAATTGTGAAATTTAATAATTGGAAAATCGGGGAATCGAAAAATCGAAGAATGAAAATTAAAAAAAAAATAAAAGAAATGAAAACACGTAAAATTTTGATATACCTAAAATCGAGAAAATGAAAATTAAAAAATCGGGAAAATAATAAATGAAAATCAAGAACTTGAAAAATTGGGGAAACGAAAAATTAAAAAATCTAAAAACTGGAAATCAGAACTTGCAAAATTGTGAAACTTGAAAATCGAAAGAGTGCAAAATCGAAAACACGGAATATTGTAAAATCGAACTGTTGAAAATTAAAGAAATTGGAAAAATGGATAATTGAGAAATGCAAAAATTGCAAAATCGAAAGAAATTAAAAAAATTAAGGAATTAAAAAAGCGAAGAATGAAAATTTGAAAACATGAAGCTAATGAAAACACAAAATTGTGACATAAAATCTAGAAAATGACAATTAAAAAATCGGGAAAATAATAAATGAAAATCAAGAACTTGAAAAGTTGGAAAAACGAAAAATTGAAAAATCTAAAAACTGGAAATTAGGATTTTGAAAATTTTGGAACTTAAAAACCGAAAGAGTGCAAAATCGAAAAACCGTAATATGTATTGTAAAATCGAATTGTTGAAAATTAAAGAAAATTGGATAATTGAGAAATCCAAAAATTGCAAAATTGAAAAACTTAAAAATTGGAAAATCGGGGAGTTTTAAAAAATTGGAGATTGAAAACTTGAAAAACAAACAAATAAAAACACGCAAAATTGTGATACAAAATCGAGAATTTGAAAATTAAAAAATCGGGACAATAATAAATAAAAATCAAGAACTTGAAAATTTGAGGAAACCAAAAATTGAAAAATCTAAAAACTGGAAATTAGGACTTGGAAAATTGTGAAATTTGAAAATCGAAAAAGTGCAAAATCGAAAAAACGAAATATTGTAAAATCGAATTTTTGGAAATAAAGAAAATCGAGAAATTGGATAACTGAGAAATCCAAAAATTGAATAATGGAAAAATTAAAAAATTGGAAAATTAAGGAACTAAAAAATCTAAGTTTGGAAATTTGAAAAAATAAAGCAAATGAAAACAGGCAAAATTGTGATATAAAATCTATAAAATGAAAATTGAAAAATCTGGAAAATAATAAATGAAAACCAAGAACTTGAAAAATTAGGGAAATGAAAAATTGAAAATCTATAAACTGGTAATCAGAACTTGGAAAATTGGGAAACTTAAAAACCGAAGTGCAAAATCGGAAAAACGTAATATTGTAAAATCGAATTGTCGAAAATTAAAGAAATCGGAAAATTGGATAATTGACAAATCCAAAAATTGAAAAGTTGGAAAATTGTGAATTATAAAATCGAAGTTCCAAATTTTGAAAAAATAAAGTAAATGAAAACAAACAAAATTGTGACATAAAATTGAGAAAATGAAAATTAAAAAATCGAGAAAATAATAAATGAAAATCAATAACTTGAAAAATTGAGGAAACGAAAAATTGAAAAATTTATAAACTGGAAATAAGAACTTGGAAAATTGTGAAACTTAAAAGTCGAAAGAGTGCAAAATCGAAAAAGCGAAAAATTGTAACATCGAATTGTTTAAAATTAAAGAAATCGGAAAATTGGATAATTGAGAAATCCAAAAATTGCAAAATTGAAAAATTGAAAAGTTGGAAAATTGGGAATTATAAAATCAAAGTTTGAAATTTTAAAAAAATAAAGCAAATGGAAACACCCAAAATTGTGACATAAAATTGAAAAAATGAAAATTAAAAAATCGGCAAAGCAATAAATGAAAATCAAGAACTAGAAAAATTGGGAAACTAAAATTTGAAAAACCTAAAATCTGGTAATCAGAACTTGGAAAATTGCGAAACTTAAAAATCGAAAGAGTGCAAAATCGAAAAAACGAAATATTGTAAAATCGAATTGTCGAAAACTAACGAAAGCGGAAAAAGGCAAGAATTTTTAATTACTATTCTGTCAAATGAGGCCCGCAGGGCTCCATATTGGGACCCACTCTTTTTATATTATACACCAATGATCTAGGACGTCATGTTCAGTGCGATACATTATATATTTATGCATTAATAAAAAGCCGTAATGATGTGAATAAATAAATACTTAGTTAAATTTTCATTTTGATTGAAAATAGTTGCCATGTAGAAACAGTAGAATAAGAAAATAAAAACTAAAAAGTCGTTGTTTCCAATACGCTTGGAGTAAAATAAGTAAAAATAAAAACCGAGAGTATATCCATCAGTCACTAGCCACAGCCTCCTCTTGTTTACAAGCTCCCACTGAATCCCCCTACCGCAAAGCCCTCATCTTGTCATCTGCAGAAAGCGTCACTTCATAGCCTTCTTTCTTGTTGCAGATCAGCCCTGTCGGCCATTTCGAGGTAAGTCACGTGGTGATCCCGGACTTCATTAAAACGTATTTAAGTCGGCTGTAATTGAAAGATGGGATTTGTTCATTGTGAACGGGGCCCACAATGGACGAGTATTTTAGTCCAGGGAAGCGGAAGAAGCTCGGACAATGCGCGGATTAAGCGCCTTGAGACGGACGTGCTGGACGTCTAGCATAAATATGGCGGCGCGGGATCAAAGCCACGAAAGCGGGCTGCGCTTTTCGAGAAGACAAGGTTGGCATCATCGGGACAGCTGGAACAAAAGTCGCCAATCTACAAATCGGCATTTTTCCGGAAACTCTCTTCTGTTGTTGGGGTAATCGACGAGTGTTCGCCGTGTGTGACGATGATGAAGTGAGCAAAACAGCAGCGCAAGAAGTGGCGTTAACGAGTCATATCCAGCCAGTGCATTAATTTATCTGTTAGGGAGGGGGATGAAAAATAATCTATTTTCTTTGTAAACTACTTTAGACGGCGTTCAAAGCTGTCGCTTGTAATTATTCAAGTGGGTGTAGTGGCTGCTGAACTTGTAAAGCTCTTAAGTTTTGTTGGCAGGCCTGAGTTCGCTCTACGGTTGCCAACTTTGCCCATTAATTACTGCACAAGCGACTTAACGGAACTGCTTCTTATAGTCGGCGGTTTTTTTTTGGCAAAAATTAACGAATTCTAATTGGGAGATGCGGCGACGAAATTCCTCGGGAAACTAATTAATTATTAGATGGTGGCTATTAATACTTGTGCAGATGCTTTAATTACAATTATTTTTAAGCAAGAAATAAGTAGGGGAACGAGGGGCTTGTTGTAACAGTTTTTAGGAAAACGAATATAATTTGGTATCTATTAGCTGTTTGACCATTATAAAAGTATCTATTGGTAGTCTAACTATTCCTCTATTGGACTGAACAGGCAAAAGATCAAAATTGTTCATCTTCACTTCACACCAGGCATTTTCTTAAAAAAAGTGCATTGTTACAACTTGCCCCGTGGTTGGGGCTAGTTGTAACAGCCATGAGACAGGTAGTACCAGTAAAAATAAAGCTGATGTTGATACATATTTAGACTTTATTTTTCAAAAATCAACACAACACTTCATTATATACATTTTTTTTTCAGTAAAACTGAAATAAACTTTTAGAAAAAGAGTCAACATTAAAAATTTGAGTGTTGTCTTCCTTTTTCTTAATATATCTGGAAAGCGATATATGGCATAGGTCAAAATTTTGGCTCGCTTTTCGTATGCTAGGTACGAGATTTTTAGAAGTGAATTTGGGATAAGTTGTAACATGATACAACTTGCCCCAAAGCTATTGTTACAACATGCCCCGTAGCACAATTTTCTACATTTAATTACATTTCGACAAAATTATGTGGCTTAGCGTCAAAATGTGTAAGGAATATCAAAGCTGAGTAATTTTTGAGCTACATGGAAAACTAAAAGTTTTAAATCAATTAATAACTGATACGAAAAACCAAATTTTACTAAAGCAATATTTTACATTACTTGGCCAAAACGAAACACGTACACACATCCACTCACTGCGCTGGCTCAAGGAACAGTGATTGTGATGACATGATATCTTATGGTGGAAGAATTAAATTCAGTAAAATACCTGACGTTAAAGAGTTTAAATTGTGGGTAAAAATTTAGTGTTACAACTTACCCCTGTTACAACAAGCCCCTAGTTCCCCTATACTAAAGCAAGCTGATTTTCTGCCATAAAATATCTGCGGGTATCGAACGAAAGCGGGGTATTAGCCTCTACACACATCGATTATTAACAAAGCATTTTCCGTTTGAATAAGTGCCGCTTTGTCGATCGAACTAGCAAATAAAACGAGTAGCGAACGCCTACTATTTTTGATTATGACATTAAAATTGGATTTTTTTTGACTTAATTTTTTCGAACGTATCATCGTTTTCTAACATTTTTAGGATTTACACCATCTCAAGTTATCTCCCTTAAATGGATTCCAATTTGTCTCTTTAGTAATTTGACCCTCCTGAACAGGAATCAGAGCCCAAAGGAGGGTCCAGGACCTCCTGATTTTTCTATTGTTCTTTTTTATTTTTTACTTTTCGAAAAGTGACATCTTTTGATGAATATGTTTGTTGATTTCAAACAGACATAGAGTTCGGCCTAAAAATCAATCAATGCCATTAAAAACTTCAATAAATGGAATGCTGGAAACCGTAACTTCAAATCTTATGCCGTTTCGGACTTATGGCCAGTCAAATTTTGAATTTGGTTTTTGAGTATGCGTTAGAGAAATATTTCGTTTAAAATAGTGAAAATGTTCGACAACTGTTCCCTGAAATGAACTCAGCAGGGCAAAATTAGTCTAGAAGCTTAATTTCAGTCAAATCCGAAGTTTTTCGACTTTATTTTTTCGAAGGGTTCGTTTGTGAAATTTTCATGATTTAATCCCCCTGAACATGAATCAGGCCTCAAACGTTGCTCCGGAACCTCTTTATTTTTTTTTGTTTTGTTTTAATTCTCGAAAAATGACAATTAAATTTGTTAAATTCAAACGGACGTAGAATCCGGCATGAAAATCAACCAAGGTGATTGAAAAACTTCACTGAATTGATGATGTCATCTTACAATTTTGTCGAATAAATGTTATTTAAATGTTAAAAAGTAGTATAATCCTGAACTTGTGGTTTATAAATACGCTATTGAGATTTTTCGGGTTTTCGATTTCTCGATTTTTCAACTGCAGATATCTCAATTTTTCAATATTTCAATTTTGGGGTTTCTATTTTTCGATTTCTCAATTTTCCTATGTTTCAATTATACAACTTCTCCATTTTTGTCCTCTTCAATTTTACGATTTTTAAAAATATCGATTTTTCAATTTTTAAAATTTTGGCGTTTTTAAATTTTCAATTTTCCGATTTATGAACTAATCTTTTTTTTATTTTCCCATTTCTCGACTTCCCAAAGTTTCGATTTTTTTCAGTTCTTCAATTTTTCGATTTTTCACGTTTCTTAATTTTTCAATTTTTCGATTTTTCAGGTTTTTTGATTTTTCAATTTTTCGATTTATTAAGCTTACGATTTTTCGACTTTGCTTTTTTAGTTTTTCGATGTCTCAATTTTCCAATTTTTTAATTTCTCGATTTTTTGGATATTTTTTTCAGTTTTGGGATTTTTCAATAATCCAATTTTTCGACTTTTTAATTTTTGGACTCCTGGATTTTTTGATTTCTCGGTTGTTTAGTTTTTGGATTTTCAATTTTTCGTTAATTTAGATTTTTCAATTTTTCAACTGTTTCATATATATTTGGACTTTCAACGTTTCAACTTTTCGATGTTTTAATGTTCCGAATTTCTAAAATTTTCGATTTTTTCAATTTTACTTTTTTTAAATTTTTCGATTTTTCTACGTCTCGACGTTTCGACTTCTCGACTTTTCGACTCCTCGATTTCTCAATCTTTTGATTTTTCAATTTGTCGATGTCTGATGTTTTTGAATTTTTCTATGTTTCGATTTTTCGATTTGTGGATTTGTCAATTTTTTATTTTTCGGCTTTTCAATTTTTCGATGTTTCGATTTTTGAATTATCCGATTTTTCAATTTTCCAAATTTTTCAATTTTTAGAGTTTCGTTTTTTCGATTTGTTGGTTTTTTATTTTTTCAATTTTTAAATTTTAGATTTTCGAATTTTAATTTTTTTGATTTTTTAATGTTTCATTTCTCCATTTTTCAATTTTACAATATTTTAATTTTTCAATGTTTTAAATTTTAGATTTTTAGATTTTTCCATTCTTCAGTTCTTCAATATTTTTTATTTTTTCAAATTTTGGCGTTTCTGAATTTTCAGTATTCCGATTTCTCAATGAATCTATTTTTTGATTTTCCCATTTCTTGACTTCCCAAAGTTCTTCAATTTTTCGATTTTTCAGGTTTTTGATTTTTCAATTTTTTAACTGTTTCATACTTCGATTTTCATTTTTCAACTTTTCAATGTTTTAATTTTTCAGTTTTTGAAATTTCAGGTTTTTCGTTTTCTCGTGTTTTCAGTTCTTCTATACTTCAACATTATTGTTATTGTTATTATTGTTATTGTTATTCAATTTTTCAATTTTCCGAATTTTCAAATTTTCGATTTTTCCAATTTTTTTTTAATTTTTCGATTTTTCTACTTCTCGAGCTTCCAGTTCTCCTATATTTCAATTTTTCATTTTTCCGAATTTTTAAATTTTCGATTTTTGATTTTGGCCTATTTCGGTTTCTCAATTTTTCGTTTTTTTTACTTCTCGACTTTTTGACTCCTCCATTTCTCGATCTTTGGATTTTTCAATTTCTCGATGTCTCATGTCTCATGTTTTTGAATTTTTCTATGTTTAGATTTTTCGGTGTTTCGATTTTTGAATTATCCGATTTTTCAATTTTCCAATTTTTCAATTTTTGTAGTTTCGTTTTCTCCGTTTGTTGATTTTTTAGTTTTTCGATTTTTAAATTTTAAATTTTCGAATTTTTATCTTTTTGATTTTTTAATCTTTCGATTTTTCCATTTTACAATTTTACAATATTTTAATTTCTCAATGTGTTAAATGTTAGATTTTTCCATTTTTCAGTTCTTCAATATTTTTTAATTTTTCAAATGTTGGCGCTTTTGAATTTTCAGTTTTCCGATTTTTGAACTAATCTTTTTTTATTTTCCCATTTCTCGACTTCCCAAAGTTTCAATTTTTTTCAATTCTTCAATTTTTCGATTTTTCAGGTTACTTGATTTTTCAATTTTTCGATTTTTAAACTTACGATTTTTCGACTTTGCTGTTTTAGTTTTTCGATTTCCCACTTTTACAATTTTTTAATTTCTCAATTTTTTGGATATTTCTTTTAGTTTTGGGATTTTTCAATATTTCGATTTTTCGACTTTTCAATTTTTGGATTTTGATTTCTCGGTTTTTTACTTTTTGGATTTTTAATTTTTCGTTAAACTTTGGAATTTTCAATTTTTCAACTTTTCGATGTTTCAATTT